GACACGGGAAATTGCATCAAGCAAATCTGGGGAGTGGAACCCATATGGCTAATGGATGTGGGTTATGATATTGTTTTGGAAGGCTCCACAATACGCTGTCCTTCAGATGCTACAGCACCACAGACCTCCACAAATCATTACCGCCAGATAATAGAACTCACTTGATCAGACCCAGGAGGAAGGCATGCCAAGGAAAAAGACGAAGGAGAGCGGTCTGTGAATAATGATCGCGGTCACCTTCGCTGTATATCACCACCCCGAGAGAAGATGACTGGGATAAGGTTGTCAGCGTGGAGGGCTGACGGATTTCTGCACCAATCCTCAGATTTCAATCCCACACCGCTTAATCTTCTCTGTCTGCCTCGACGTGCCACCAATGATCGCTTGCTAAACTTGAAATGAATCCATGTTAAAGTCATACAAACACATTAAAGGCAGAATATGAGATATGAGAAAGTAAAAACCTAGACAGATCGGAGGGGATAACTTAGGGAATTTAGCGGTCTGTCTGCTGGCTAAGGTGCCTCACTTGACCAGCTGAGAGTGAGAACATTTTGACAATTGTTAAAGGCTTAATATGTGATTTTTCACACTTAAATGTAATATAAATCAAGTATATCCTCTGAAAATAACTCTGTGAGTCATGACTGTCTACAATGGGTGTAACACCCGAGTCCCGCTGTCTGTGATGTTTTCAGAGTTTTCAGAGTCCTATCTTCACTTTGTTTACATCGCCTGCCGGCTGACTCCTCCCCTCGTGTATAAAAGTTGTTTAATTGAGGGACTAGAGAAAAGAAGAATAACATACTGTACTCACTGCTTAACTGTGTTTCTAGATCACGCTCATTTCAGGTAAATTTACATGCAGTGTGAAGATACGAGCATAATAAAGATCACTAGCATTAGCATGCTAACACAACAATACAGCGCAAGTTGTTTTGTTTTCATGCTGGTGCTCAAGGGCGACATCTGCTGGATCAAAAAGTTGCATATTCTTCCTTTAACGCAAACTGGCAAAGTAGGTTTGTCCATCTTGAACCTGGAGTGACGACACAGCATCACAACGCTCGGCCTCACGTCCACTGGAATGTCTTTCTCGCAGGAATTTATCAGGAAGTGGTAACCAAGGTCGTGTTGGTACAGTAGGTAGGTCTTCGTCTGAATATTGGATGGATTCAATTAGCGCTACAGCAAAGGCGAACGTGAGTGAAATGTATTAGCGTGCTTGGCGTGAAGGAGCGGCCGGATTGATGCACTGGAAAGGCTGCTGTAAAATCAAGACTGATAGACTAACTCTCTCCTGCTCTCTTTTCCCCCCTCACTGTTTTACTGGAGTTGGCAGCCTCGCTTGTTTTTTTTTTTGCTCTGCGCTTCATTTGTTACCCGGAGAAGGTCATCGGCGAGCATGTTCAGGCTCTTCCTCAATGTCCTCTGCCGCCCTGCCCACAGGAGCCATTAGGGCGATATGCTGTCCTGGCTGCTGCTAACTGTGTGCCTTCACGACCTCTGGGAGCTCAGATTACATCTTCGGCTACACATCTTCTGTTTTTCTCTGATTGAGATCCTCTGATGAGAGCCACACCAGGTAACGCCAAGCATTATGGGGTCGTGTGAAAGTTGTCTTAAGACCGAGGTGAAAGCGTTCCAAAGGGAATGAATCCACATTTTAAGATTCCTTTGAAAAAAACGAGCATTTTTTACTACTCAAGACATGCCATGATTCCAGTAATTTGTTTGAGAAGCCAGAGAGACAGGATTTAAGGCTAGAAACAGTGTTTAAATTAAATTATAAAACTGAACAGATTTGTATTAAGGGTTTTGAAGATTCTTGTGAGTAAATGTTAAGAACATACAATGAAATACTGTCAGATACAGAATCCCATCTTTCAAACCTTAAATTTGGAGTCAGTAGAAATGTTGGTTTCAGCTTATAAACACAAAATTCAAACTGTTGCCCCTCCTCTTTGGCTCCTCCCCCTCTGAAGCTCACACTCACCGCAGGATGTAGTGTGTACGTTTACTGCTTGTACCTCCACTGAAAGCTACCTCACGTTAGCACAAGCTAACCGCCAGTTTTTCTCACCTGCGTGTCCAAAAGACATTAGGCAGACTCTGTGTCCACAGGTGAAAGCTAACCCAAGGTTCATGCTATTTGCTTGGTGTTTTCCCTCACTATAATTGTATTTTGCACCAATCATATTACCCGTCCAATCGCTAAATTGTATCCACTCCTAAACTCACCTGTGCTGTCATTGGCTGGAGGAAACACCAACTCCCCACTTAGAAACGTCCTGAGTCAACCTAAACTCGCAACTCTAGTCAGAGGACCAGATCTCTGCAGACACAGTCACCACCACACATGTACAGAGGCCCAGAAGTGATGAATGAAGTCTATATTTTATTTTTTAAGGAAAAAGATACTGACTCTGTCTTTAAAACTCACATAGTGTTACAATGCAGGGTGCATATCATAAACGTGGGCAAAGGTTTCAGATCATGAGGTAAACATTTGTTGGAGTAATTCCAGGATAAGTCTGCAGATGGCGCTAAACGGCTTGTTCTCCAAATCATGTGACAGTTCCCCGATATAAAACCAAGAATTTCAGTAGACGGCTTCAAACCTCTATGTAAGCCGTTGAAACCTCGTACATGGACTCTATTCTCCCAGCACTGGAGAGCAGCCCTCCTCTGGCAGCCCTGCAGCGTTCTGCCCATCCGGAAGGCTTCCAGAGAGCTGACCAATCAGAAAAAAGTGGGGTCTTAAAGAGACAGCAGCTGAAACAAATTGGTTCAGTCAGAGGCTTTTACTGACACCAGTATCAGATAAATAAGGAGTTTTTTGAGCTGCAACATAATGCACAGCTACTCAGTCAACCTAACGACAGGCTGACAGCTGGAGCTGAGGCGGGTTTTAAACCCATTGACAAATCGTTACAACGCGTCCATGTGTCCATCGTGGCAGCTATGCGTCTTATTGTGAATATCTCTTATCCTTCATCAAATCAAAACAAAAGAGTTATTAAAAAATCCACCCCCTGTACAGTGTGTGCCAATAGAAACATGAGCTAATCAGACTGATTCAGTTTTTTAAACCAGGCTGTAAACATGTTAATCTCTGCTGTAAAAACTGTTTTTTTGAATGGGTGTGTATGTGACATCCATTGCTTCTGCAGCCACCCTCAAGTGGACACTCCTGGAACTGCAGGATTTTGCACTTCTTTTTTTCAACACTGAAGGTTGCTGCTTGCACTGAACACACCTTCAGTCAGGCTCTTTAACACACTCCTACATTTTCAGAATGAACCTCAGACTGTTTGTAGATAGAAAATAAAAGCAGTTCAGCATGTGTGACAACAAAACCAACACGCCACTTTCAAAGAAGAAGCAATTAAAAGTGATACTTCAACATGATACTTCAAAATATGTCACATCTGGTGTAGATTCTTTTTCAGCCTGACATTTACCTGGAAGTCTTTCCACAACATTTGTTTTGCTGGCATTGTGCATTGTTTTTGTTAAGCCTTGCCGGGCTCCCCTTGTCATAACTCAGTCCCCCCCCCCTCCCCAGGGGTCCCACGCCCCACATTGGAAATCACTGCATTAATACTGCAAACATGTTATGTAGCTGTCTGTTTTGATAACATTTCACATTTTGTAGTACGATAAAGTTGTGGGTATCTTTAACCAGAAGGAGTGTAAAAGAGTATTTAGAGATGAGTTTTACATCAACCATAATTGACGATGAGTGTCCTCAAGCAACTTTTCTCGAGTTTTCACCGGATTAGTGAAGTGTGAAAAATCGCTTGACTGATGTTCCACTCATGTTATTTTTACACCATCATGCAATATTGAAGCCTCGTACTGCAGACTTCTGAGTAATTGGAGATAAAAGTGAAACACTTTACTATCCTAGTAACACTCCTCATCAAACACTGAGATATCCTCATGGTTTTCTGGATTAAGAAGATTTAACAATCCTATTTTATCAAAAAGCAACTGCTTGCCTGATCCTCCTGTGATCTGCTGTCTCTCCTAAACCTAAAGTACTTGACATAGGTGATAGAAACGGCTTTGAAACATTTATTCCTGCTTGATTCTGTGTGAAGTCCGATGCCACTGAAGCATTTTCAAGCCTAAAAGATGTTGGAGTGCATAACTTGGATAACCCGGTCTCTCGAGGAGCTTGAAGCAGCACAGTATGATGCTGCCGACATCAAACCAGAGGACTGTAATATCAAACACACCCGGTGTCATCTCGTCTGCACTTTTAATCTTCATTCTCCCGGGCTGCCACAGAGCTCTAGGCACTTAACCAATAACAAAAGCCCTATTAGGAAGTTAATGCAGAATAATGATGACAGGCGGAAGCTCTGGAAATATCACCTGTCGTCTGAGACAAGACGGATGGTGCACCGGCACAAACACTGGGAAGAAAGTATGACATGTTGATCCACTCAATGTGTTAGAGGACCACTGAAATAATCCTCCCCATCTATAAAGACACCAACAAGGCAGTCTAAAGCTGAGTTACTGCGCCCATAAAAAGTGTGAAAACAGGGGGGAAAGGCTCTGCAGGAATTAAACTGTGGAGGGAAGTGCATGATCCAGAGAAACAACTCTGCATGATTTCAGTTTGCTCTCTACTCAGGCATGCACTTGCAAAGATTTTTTTTTGTCTTTGAAAAATACATGGTGTTTGATCATTGAGCTGCAGCACCAGGAGAGCAATCCTGCAGGGGTTGGGAAGTGGGGGGAACTCAAGTTTGAACAGCAAGGGGATCATTCATGTTAAAAACTAAGAATAAAAGCAAAGCTGAAAAAAGGCTGCAGAGATACTAAAGCAGAATTTACAATCTCTGCACCAAATGCCATAAGGTCACAATAAAGGGCTTCACTGGAGACCATGCATCTCCTTCTGCACTTCTTCATACACTGTTTTGCTCATTCGTACACAACTTGAACATCACAACTTGACACAAAGAGTAGAGGGATTTGTTTACCTGTTCGGCTTCCACCTCCGGACACGGCGGCTACCCTTCCATCCGGACACTCAGGAGGAGCAGCCGGGATGAAGCGGAGATCAGAGAGCCTCTCCGCATCTCCCCCCTGGAGGCGTGAGTGTGTGTGCGCTCTGGTTTAACACAGCAGGTGGGGAAGTGAAGAGTCCCCCCCTTCAGCTCGGATGTTCAGCTCCGATAGCCAGGTGCGCAAAAAAGGAAACAGACTCAAGACTCACAAGGCGTCCCGCCGGAGGAGGTCGGTACCTTTTCTCTTTCGCGGGACTGTTGAGGTAAATAGGAAGCCGCTCTGAAGTCCACCTGAAACCGGAGCGCCCTCCTCCAGCACCCCGCGGAACAGTGTGTGGCGGTGAGGACGCGTGGAGCTTGCTGTGGTGCTTCTGAGTGGAGGAGGCTGCACGGGGAGAGCCGGGGCGTGTTCCTGAAGGAGGAGGAGGAGGAGGAGGAGGAGGACGACGGATGCGCAAAGATGCTCAGCTCAGTGTGAGTGTTAAAAACTTTCTGTCAGAGTTATAGTCCCCAGATTTCTGCAGATATGTAACGATTTATTTTAGGATTCAGGGGCTGCAGGTGATTTTAAAGGGACAGGTCGGGCTGCCTGATATGGAAACATACAGGCCCTACATACATGTTTCCATACAGACATTTTGTCTCAGTGGGAGTCTTAGCCCTTTCTATAAATGCCTGTTTGCATAGCTTAATGATTCATGTCGTTGTTTGTTTCATTTTTACTGCACGAGGAGACAATCACAATCAGAGGGAAGACCACGATAAAACACAAGATTGTCTCTGACAGGAATTTGTTTTGCTGTTCTAAAACCAGAAATAGAGGTAACATACTTCCAAACAAGAAGCTATAGGTAAAATAAATAGCCCTTCTGGAGTCATTTCCCAGATGATGGATTATCATTTTAAAGTGTCATTGAAGTCAGGCAGGGGGTTGATAGTTTGATCCAACCATCACTGGATGTTCATCTGTGAAACCAAAATTTTGAACAATTCTGATGCCTGCATGTGACCAAAGCAGAAAACAAGACATTCTATAAACATATTTTAATTCTGTCACTACATCATGCAGACACAGCCTGCAGACTGGCGGTTCCTTATTGGTCCAAATAGTCCACTCAAAATGTAAACGTAAGTAATCGTCAGACAACACTATACTGCTCAAGTACAAGACTAGAACTGCAAAGAAATAAGATGTATAGATTTGTCCACAGGGGGCGCCAAAATCTGCACAAATTGATTTTCCTTATGGTAGCTTTCAAGCAGCTCACGATATGTAACTAAATAGTTGTTTCAACAGTCGATCTTACAGTACAATAACTTTCAAAAGATATAACAGCATCACTCCGATGACCTATCGCCTGTTTACTGCACTATGTAACTTTGGCAGCGGGCTGAAGTCATCTCGTCAGAGTGCGTACAGCTTTATGGCAGACGTCTCGCTACTAAGCTAAGGGGAGAAAAAGAGAGAGTGACCAAGGAGGAGGCTGGACTAGAGTGAATATTGGACAGGTTTTTACACTTTGTTGAGAGCTTCACAAAACAGTAGACTGGTGGTTTGTTGCCGTCAGACGGTTACAAAGTGGTTACACTATTCCCCATCCCCAGAAAGTATGGTATGATGATCTGTCTCACGGCTAACAGCAGAGTGTACATCCCTGCAGATATTATTCAGAACAGACTGGGATGTAATGTTAGGCTGTTCTGTTATCGTTGTCATCATCGTCTCATGTTTAGCATCTTTAGCGGTTGCGGAAAGTTATCTAACACAAGTAATGTCTCTGGTTTGATACAAGTAAATAAATAAATAAATCCATCTCACGCCAAAAAGTTGTCTCTTGGAGTGCCGGTGGACTAGTGGTTGATGCGCACACCCCATGTACAGAGGCTGTGGTCTTCTGGGCAAGCAGGCCGACCTGTGGCTTCTTTCCTGCATGTTGTTCCCCTCTCTCTCTCTCTCTCTCTCTCTCTCTCTCTGGGTTCCAGCTCTGTCCACTGTCTTATTTCTACAATAAAAATCACAAAAATTAATCTTAAAAAAAAACAAAACAGTTTCTTTCCTCATTGATATTCAAGTTAAGTTTGTATCCTATTAAACTTATCTCAACTAGCAAGACAACATCATGGTAACAGTCAAATCCACATACTCCACATGCTAACAGTTTGTAAACAGCGGGCTGAAGACGCTAGAGTCATATTTGTGCAAAGTTCTGTCCTTCTACATGATTCTCTGGCTTCTCATAACGTCTCTCCCAGCTCCACTGCCCTCTGCTTGTGAATATTAACCACACTATGTGTGCTTTGACAGTGTAGTTGCACTCACAGACCTTCAGTGGGCGCCAAAGCGCACCAAATGGAATCCTTATTCTGACTTCCTGTCCCGCTCGATCTTCTCTGTGGTAGATTGATGCGCCGTGCTCCGGCATCTGGCAAAAATAGAAGTCTTGTGTATCTGCTGCAGGAGAGCTGTGGGCTGACAGAGCTGAGACGACGCTCATTGACTAAACATTGACTAAAGTAAAAACCTAGACAGATCGGAGGGGGTAACTTAGGGAATTTAGCAGTCAGTCTGCTGGCTAAGCTGCCTCACTTGACCAGCTGAGAGTGAGAACATTTTGACAATTGTTAAAGGCTTAATATGAGATTTTTCACACTTAAATGGAATATAAATCAAGTATATCCTCTGAAAATAACTCTGTGAGTCATGACTGTCTACAATGGGTGTAACACCCGAGTCCCACTGTCTGTGATGTTTTCAGAGTTTTCAGAGTCCTATCTTCACTTTGTTTACATCGCTCGGACGGCGGCCGGCTGACTCCTCCCCTCGTGTATAAAAGTTGTTTAATTGAGGGACTAGAGAAAAGAAGAATAACATACTGTACTCACTGCTTAACTGTGTTTCTAGATCACGCTCATTTCAGGTAAATTTACATGCAGTGTGAAGATACGAGCATAATAAAGATCGCTAGCATTAGCATGCTAACACAACAATGCAGCGCAAGTTGTTTTGGTTTCATGCTGGTGCTCAAGGGCGACATCTGCTGGATCAAAAAATCACATATAAAGCCTTTAATGAGATGATCTAAACTGGAAAGAAGGAAATAATAATAAAAAAAATGTCTGATGTAAAGATTATAACGATTACAATGGTCAACAAGTCACAGCGTAAAGGACTCTTTTGTTTCTGTTAGGCTTCAAACCTGACAAAACATTTGTCTGTGAGGGTGTGTGCGTGTCTGTGTGCGTGCTTGCTTGTGTGTGTGTGTGTGTGTGTGTGTTTGAGAGAGAGAGAGAGAGAGAGAGATTGTGTCTATGTGCATTTGTGTGTGAAAGAGTGTGCTTCTGTGTGTATGTGTGTGTGTGTGTGTGTGTGTGTGTGTGTGTGTGTGTGTGTGTGTGTGTGTGCAACAGACAGGCAGGAAGAGATTTGACATCCCAGCTGATATACAGCCTGAGTGTGGAGTGAAATAGACTTTATGTCAAATCAACAGAATTTGAGCTTCCTCATCTGCTTCCAAATAAGCCATCAGTCTGACGCAGCACATTTCAGTTAGTTGGTAAGCAGCTCAGTGTGTGTGTGTGTGTGTGTGTGTGTGCGTCCGTCCTCACACTCACTTTAACAAAAGCTATTTAAGGAGTTCTGGTGTCTTCTCGCCCGTCTGCTTTGGGTTGGCCAGATGGTCCTGCGTAAGAACTCTGAATTATTCAACCATCCCACGGCAGATTGAAGCCGTCATGCGTAAGACAACTTGGCCGGCCTCTTCCTGTGGCCGGGGGAACACCGGCAGGATGAGCGCCGGCATCTTCTGCAGGTTATGCAACTCCACGTAGAAAATGTCACTAATGCACAACTCAGGCTTTAAATTTACTGTCGAATGATCTCTTCTTCTTTTTTTCTTTTTTTTTCCAGATCAGACTCAGAGTGTGTTATGCTTTCACAGAGAGGGATGAGATTCATAAATTATTCACCTGATCCAGCTTTTTATGTGTGACTGCCGAGCTTACAGCGGCACCAGCTCATCCAGAAACAAGGCAGTTAAGCTTTTTTTTAAATGGATACACAGTGTCTGTTTGTGGCGTGCTCTAATGCATCACATTAAGGCAGAGTGTGGCAGACACAATTATGGAAATGACTAAAGTTGGACAAGTACGCGAGGAAAAGCCATAAACCAAAACATTGTCATAAATTTTCCCAAAGACATCATGTGGGTCCTCAGACATTTAATGTGCTACAATTACCACAGCAGCCATTAGTGATATTAGAGTGAAGCTTTACTGATGGCAGGGATCATGATTAGAGCCATAATTTAGCAGGATAACTCCTGTCACTTTAACTGAGCCAATGACGCTATGAATACACGCCATTACCAAATACGGCCGGATAATATATCACCACATTATGGCTGATGAATTGTTCCATCTTTCACTTTCTCCTCATGCCTACCTCGTCCGCCTCCGACTCAAACCAGCCACACTTTGTCAAGGTTGAGATGAACTGGATGACACGGATGTGGTTTTGTTTAGCAGTCAGCGTGTGGGTGGGTGGGTGAAGGGGGGGGCTAATCCTTTCACAACAAGATGAAGAAATCCACTTCACGAGGAGCACGCCGTGTGTCTACCTGGGTGTGTGTGCGGTGTAATCACCCTGAGAGCGGGGCGCCATTAATCCGGTTGCGAGTCGGTGTGCTTTGATCTCTGGCTGAGTGGCTCTACAGGGGAAGCTCTCCATGCTCACCTCCGCTGCTAAAAGAATCACTCCAAAATAGAAAAGGAGGCTTCTTATGTGAAATGGGTTAATAGCTCGTCTTCAGTGGAGAGGCTCGTCCCGTGTGTACACGCTCCAGAGAAGTGAGGCTCATTTCCAATGAGTGGTTCGATTTCAGACAAGGGCCTCTTCACATGAGGGAAGCGAGGTAGTTATGTGCTCCACAAAACTACCTGTGTGACAAAAAAAATATCAATTTGAGATCCTTACAGTGTAATTACACAAGTGCTTTACTGTAAGTGTCAGCTAATTGCATCTGATATATATATATATATGTGTATATATATGTATGTGTGTGTATATGTGTGTATATACAATGTGTGCTGACTGTAGACGGCCTTTTACGTCTGATTTTCTGCAGACAACAGAACTGAAAAGTGGTTTAAAGAAGCACCACAACATTTTCTCACATACTGTGAGGCCCACAATCATCCATTTCTTTTGTAACCATCACAAACAGTACATTATTTGTTATTCACTCCCAAACACATTATCTGTTACCATCAAGAAGGCAGTGATTATGATATAACCACTGTAAAATATGGTGCCTAAGATGCACTTCTAAAACCTACCTGTCCAGTGTGACCAGTTAAAACTTAATTTTGAAAGACAAGCAAGTGCATGGCTGAGCAGAGAGCAAACTGAAATAAATACA